TTTCGAGTTTTTCTTTACTTCAATACGGACATGTCGTGGTACTGTTCAGACCATATGAAACAGAACCCTGCTATCCCGTGACCAGCCCGCACAACACAATGTTTTGCCCTTACGATAGTGGAGAAAAACCCTAGTGAAATCTGATTGGTTGATAGAAAAAGGCTCTCGACCAATTAGATTCCACTAGAATTTTTCTCCACTATCGTAAGGGCACAATATTGTGTTGTGCAGCCTGATCACGGTTTAGTGATATCTGTCTAACGCAACCGCTTAAATTTAATTTTAAGTAAATTAACTGTTCAATAGAAAAAAAATCTTAACTCAGTATGAAGTATTATGTTTTTCATTAAAACTTAATGTTCAAAATTAAACGTTAAGTAACAAAACTGTACTTAATGTTAGGTTAAGTTAAATGGTTTACCACTACTCGGAAAGTCGTACCAGCATATATATGCGCAAAATGTGAGAGAGTGTTTGGCGCACATCTGCTAATGTATACTAGTTATATTTTTCATATGGGAGAGGTGAAGAGGAGCTTAAAAAACTTTAATGACTGACACTCGGAAGCCATCCCTGCAAATTAAAAGTTTTTCAGGAAAATCTCTGTAAATCCCACAGACTCAATCGTAAAATTAGTAAATGATAGTGCATTCGAAAGTAGAAAGCTTGGGCTATCCAACGATGTATGAACCTTGAAAATCGTCAGTCTAGACAAAAATTGGAGTTTTTGGTAAGGAAAGGAGGTCATGTCATTACGTAAATATGGATGATGAAAATCTTGTCTCTTTTTGTCAGAACTTCAGGCATAAATCATCTCCAACTTTGACAAAAATTTTGAAGCGTTTGCTCTTGCCATTACGGAAACATAGCTTACAGAAGACAAAAACAAATGAAATATCATAACAATTGGCCACGCTAAGCTCACTTTGTTAGTACAAAAGTGGGTTTTTACCTACTTTTTTCATACGCAGCTCTGTGACAGGGCTCATGAGGCCACATCGGAAATGACTACAACTCATTTCTTCAAACTTGAACATTTAAAATCCATGACAAAGTCAAAAATATATTCAATATTTCAAAATCCATTCACAGTACAATAGTCTTAGATCCTAAACTTCAAAATAACATGTAGACATGTCTATCACAAATTGTCATGGCTTACAGGATTTTTCGACATGTCTACCACGATCTGTATTGAAGTGGAGTTCGCTTTTCTCGGTATAAAGTGCATCAAATGATTGAGCAACTTTCACCTCATAACTATCATCTTTATTGGATATTTATGATGCAGGAATCGTTGCAATATTCTCCTGTAAATCAGTATTTCATTTTGAGTTATTCATGGATCGAGTGAATTTTAGATCGCCAAACAGCAAAACGGAATCAATCACCGAATATAATGAAAAATTTAAATTACAATCCAAAATATAATTTGACAGTTTTTTGTTGAATTAAGTAGTTACTATGTTCTAGATAATTCCAATTGCTTTATAATGTCAACTAGATATCTGCTTCTTCCACATCATCACCAAACATGCTCAAGAAAGAGAAATGGCTAGACTATGTTGCTTCAAAATCAAAAGAAGTCTCGCGTTGGTACTTTGACAAAATTTTTTGAAAAAAGGTACGACAGTAGGTATCTTATAATATGGTATTCTTTCTTAATTGCAAATAGTATTGAAATAGTTTTGTATGATCATGTTCGAAATCGAGTATACGCGTAGATATATGACGAATTTTGGAGCTACTTTTCAAGGCTTCGCTTAAGCGACCAAGTGAGCGGAGTGTTACGCCCATGCTATCGTATCATCCGAAACTGAGAATTCACAAAATGTATTTCCTCCTTTTGAATAAATCATGAACAAAGGAATTCGAAAACAACAATCGAATGAAAATATTTCATTGAATAAGATTTTGTATTCAGAAGATCAATCGATGTATCGATTGTTGAAAAAAACAAAAATTATTATAGAAAATAGGTAAACAAGCGAATGCATCTCATATATATATACAGTATGTAAAATTATTATTTGGACACCTATCTTATGTATCTTATAAATCGAATTTCATCATGAAGGAAAAATATTTTCTTGATATCATTCGATAGCTCGGAATCTCTACTTCATTGTCCGAGCAGAAAAAATTTAAAAAGAACAAGATTTTCATAAGTTTTTGAGGG